GAAAGGACCTTAGTCTGCACCAAGGCCCTGGGCCTTTAAGAGCACTCTGTCATTCAGTCAGTCCAGCTTTGAATAACACTGGTCCAGGTCCTGGGTCCTAACACCAGACACAGGAAAGGAGTGATGGTGCTTTTCCAGATTAAACCATCCTAGCTCCCTCAGCACAGGCTGGCAGCCAGGTGGGGGAACATCACTTCAGCCTGGGAATACTTGTTCTAGGCCACCACTGGCTTGCTAAGGATCATCTCAATGCCTAGCACAGAGTCTGATAACCGAAAGAGATTTGCTGAGCTAATAGATAAATATCCAATGGACGTCTGTGTCCCCAACCTCTGGCTTCCCTCAGCAGCTTCAGAGCCTGAGATCTGGGCCCCTGACTTGGCTGCCTGCTGGTCAAAAAAAAAAAGTGACTTTTCTCCCCACTGCTTACCTTCCTGCATCCTGGAAAAGAAGCCCCAGACACAAAAGCCTAGAGAACATACAGAGGAAATGCCTGAAGAGAGCCTCACTATGAGGATAGCAGGCAGGAGCCCTGAAGCTAGGCCCAAATCTGCAACCAGCAAGCTGTGTGGCCTTGGGCATCTCATTTAACCTCTCTGTGCCTCTCTTTTCATCTCCAAATGGAGAGGCAGCACAGAAGGTACAGGGCAGGTGGGTTCTGACATTGGTTGGCCTGATTTTGAATCCTAGTTTGACCACTTTCCTCAGATTTTTGACTAAGACCTGGTTACACACATGCCACAGGCCTCAGTGCTCTCATTGCTGAAATGAATAAAAACAGTATCTACTAATGCACTTTTGGGAGGTTAATATAGCTATTTTATAGACATGCTTTAGGACAGTGCCTGGCATCCAAGAAATGAGTTATTATTATTATTGTAATGTTTCCTTGTTTAAATGATAAAGGGCTGCTCTCCTGGCCTCCTAGGGTTTTGGTGATGCCCTGGCATCATGAATAAAAAACATGGGAGGAATTTGGTAGCTGCCTGGTTTCTTTTGTTTTCAAAGCTAACTGGAAACTCCTCTTTTTAGTGGTGCTAGCCATCTGCCCCAGCTGACTGCTCTCCATAACAAAAGGCAAGGCCTGGATGGCCCACCAGGTCTTTACCCCAGAACTGGCCAGCCCCTGCTGGCACAGAAAACCACATTGGCTGCTTTTTCAGTGACAACCACTGGTGTCAGTGACTAGAGCATCTAAAGAAAACAAGACACAGTTAGACCCCCAAAATTTAGGCTCTTTTCAAATTTGGGGATCTCAGAGAGGAGCACACTTTTAGAATTTCCTCCAAAATTTAGTGGGGCTCCTCCTGTCTCTACCTTGGCCCAGTTGGCCCTGGGAGGAACCAAGGAATGCCCTTGGGGGCTGGGGAGGAGCTGGGGAAGGCACAGTTTTCAAAGTCCTTTTCCATTAAGTTTAAGAATGGGGTGAAAGGATCCAAAAGTATTAAACAGAAAACCTGAGCACTGCTGACTCGGTTTTCACATTCTCCTTGGCTCCTGACTCTGAATGGTACACGAGGTTCTAGAAAGCTGAAGGCAGGTGCTTTAGGTTATAAAGGTGCATAATTGGCCTCAACCTGACATCAGCCCCCAGTCCAGGAACCCCAGGGAACGAAAGCTGCGGAACGGTGTGCCATGGGTCCACATTTTTTCCTCTGCAGTTCTGAGCACCACAGAGTGAAATTTGGCTCAGGTTCATATTTCTGACCTGGTTCCCAATTGGAAAGCAGGTGCAGATTTTGACCTGAAAATATTACAGGCACAGGCAGCTTAGTCCTCTTCCCTTTAATCCCATGCCCAGCAGGAGGCACAGCTTCCTCAGTCCTGGGAGTGGAGTCTGAGGCAGCTGCTGCTCTTCCCAGTTAGTTGTTCTTCTCATCACCTTTGTTCTCAGATACCAATGTTCTGGCATTTAATAGCCATCAACCACCCAGAACTAGATATTTCCAAATACAGGTTAATCATGTTCTTTTAGCATGTCCTCCCTATGCCTGTGTCCTGTCCCCCCACCCCTACAACCCCTAAATAACCCAGATCATTTACTACTGTTTAATTAAAATTATCCCCAGCCTAGGTCTCTACTAGTAATAGAATTAGATGCCTAGAAGGAAGCTACCATAAGAAATCTTAATCAACAACTAAAATATTGAAGGAGCCTACCTCCAACGTGACTGGGCGAACCATCGGCCCCAGCTTTGAGAAATGCCTGTTACTGGGTTACACCTGCTCACAACTTATTCTCCTTAGGAGAAAGGGCATCTCAGGATAAACTGCCTGCACAAGCCCAGAGGTCTAACTCATTCAGGGCCTGACTGCTAGCCCAAGACCTAGGACTTTCTGTTGGGGACCAAGGGGGCTTCCTTTCATCCTTGACAAACTGTGGGTGTTGACCTACATCAGTGGTTCTCAACCAGGGCTCATTTTGTCCCCCAGGGTCCATTGGCAATGCCTGCAGATACTCTTGGTTGTCACTCATGGCCAGGGCCCAGGGGGGTCTAATGGGTAGGGACCAGGGATGCTGCAGACACCCTGTGGTGTAAAGGGCTACCTCTACAACAAAATTACTGAGCCCCAAACATCAGCAATGCTGGTGCTGAGAAACCCTAGCCCAGAAGCCTATTTCAGGTTTTTCCAGACGAAGCTGTTTTCAAGTTTCCTGGGAAATGCTGGGCTGCCTGTGGCCCCCTCGAGGACTGGAACACCTGGGGCTGCACCCAAGGACGACTATCAGCTGATGAAACTTTTCCAGCACATTTCTTTCTGCAACAGAAATCGTCTGGTGCACTGAATTGCACGTTAATCTAAATGACAGAACTGTGACTCTAATAAAATGGCCATGCCTGTAAGACCCTCCCCAGAGTGGCTGCTCCATCCCTGCCCTTTCAGATGGGGGTGATGGAAAGACGCCAAAGGTCAGTCGCTCCCCTCTCAACACAAAGTCTCTGTAGTGGCGTTGGTGCCATGCCACTCACATCTCTTCTTTTAGGAGAAAGAAACTGAAGACAGAGAAATAGCAATGCTGAAAAATGGCCAGAAGTCATCCCACTTAGTTTATTTCACGAGATTCTCAGCATGTAAGTGTACTTTCCTAGGGAAAATTTTTGTCTCAGTTCACATTATAAATTATTTTACAAATATAGAACTGTGTTAGAAACAATAGTTATAAAAGTCCATAGGATTTTCACATAAAATAATACCCCTGAAACTGGATTTTGTGCAGTGTGGGTGGGCAGTCTTTGGTTCTTTCTGCAGGCAAACCTTGGATGCTGCAGTTTCTGTGCCAGACCAGTCTTAGAAAGCAAGTGTCATCTTTTTGCTGGTGAGGGTCTTGCCTTCAATTTGTAAAAAAATGCAACCTCTGTGAAGCACAACAAAACCAGGTACACCTGTTCATAATATTTAAATAATGGTGGTGTTGCTTGTACCTCATTAAACTACTTTAAAAAATAGTTTCCTGTAAGTTATTTCAAAATAAAAATTTAAGAGTAATGCTGTGAGTTTTAAGAAAGAATACACAGAGGAAAGCTAATTTTTTTAAACAATGTACTTGTGTTCCTTTAAAAAAAAAATTAAAACCCCAAACCAACAACATGGCACTAAGGCAATTCATAGGACATTATCTTCGTCTTAATGTAACATTGTTCCAATAAAATAGACTAATACTTTTTGGATAAGTTCAAGTTCAAGCAATGACTGGGTGTCTGCCAGGCACCAGGCTCTCTGCTGGGTGCTGGGAGGCTAACCATACAATTATTCAAATGAAAATACCTCTTGAGAAGTAAAAGGGAGTGCTAAAAGTAAATTATATTTTTAAAAAATTTACCACAACTGGTTTTTTTAAAAAAACCATTTGTGGTAAATAAAAATTCAATTTAAAAACTATTTTTAATAAAATTCTAATACTTCATTTAAAGAAAAACTCAGGACAATGCTAAAAGGGACAGAATGTCAGGTTCACGAGGACAATGGTCAGCCCAGGCCTCAGGAATACAGTGGCACAAGTAACATGGAGGTGGGGGTTCCATCCGTGCTGCTCACGGGAACATCTCAAGTGACATTTATTTCAACTGGAATCTTTGGTCAAATGTGATCTAGCTCATTCCTACTCTCTATGCACTGTCTACCCTCAGGAACTAGAAACACAAAGCTGCAAGCACCAGCCCTGGAGCCAGACTGCCTGGACCTGACCCTGCCCTGCTGCACGGCTGGTACCTGCATGGCCTGGAGTGAGCCACCTGACATCCTGGTGCTTCCCAGCCTCATATGAAAATGAGGCGGTAATATCACCTGTCTCCCAGGCTGTGCGGGTTAATGAGTGCAGTGTCCAGCAGCGCTGCCACACAGGGCTTGCTTGGGTAGTTTTATTGCTATTAGTATCTACCATGTACCAGATGCTGAGCATGAGAAAAGGGGACTCATGAGCTGGATGGAACTCATGGCTTTTGGGGGTTTCCCAGTACAGTATTTTCTAAACTTTAATTAGCAACCAAGAATTCCAATGGAGGTTTCCTATGAAAATACAGATCTGTCTTTTCTAGGAAAATCAGAATGCTGCCAGGCAGAAGGAAAGAATTAGCTGCCCACAGCAGCCTTCAATGGGTCAGTCCCAACTCCTCCCTGATGCTTCCAATGCCAATTGCTATCTTTTTCCTCCCCAATAACGTCATTCACTTTTTTTAGCTGGCCATGTACACATTTGAGCTTGTAACCCTGATCTACAGTGATGAACGGAACAGATGTGGTCCCTTGTCCTCACAGGGCTCACAGGTGCTATTATCGTAGGACAGAGTGGGATGGCTATCTCTTCAGGGAGGCCCTACCCTGAGCAACCTGGAGAAGCTTGCTGGGTTGTAGGAAGAGTTGTCTACTATACCCAGGCTACTCCCAGGTGTGTTAATGGACCAGATCAGCCAGGAGCTCCAGAGAAACGCAGAACCTGCTCCAGATCAGCCGCCTTGGAACATGGATTTTAACAAGATCTCAGGTGTGCATCTTCAAGTCTATACCTCAGAGCCCTCCCGCGGGTAGATGATGCTGTTGACCATGCTGAAGTTGTAGAAAGGCGGGCTGAAGGGACTGCTCTGCCCCGCACCAGTGCTGGCAGGGAAAGGGTTATAATAGGAAGATCTCTGGCTGCTGCCGTTGCTGGTGCTGGTGCTCAGTTGCAAGTTGTCTGAGGCTTCCGAGACGGAGCTGGCGGGAAACGTGCTGCTGGAGGGCAGGTGGGCCCCCTGGATCCCTAGGGGGTGGCCACCAGCGACAGCTCGCTGGGTGCTCCCACTGCTGCTGACACTCAAGGTGCTGAGGCTGCTGAAGAAGGTGTTGAGGCAAGGGGTGGAGGTGAGCACAGGCCCTCCAGGGGAGGAGACACTCTTGGAGCCCTCAGGAGGCTCTGGAGACTGGGAAGGCCTCAGCAGAGCAGAGGGGCTGTCTCCTTCCGGCTTCCCACCCGCTCCAGCCCCTAATCCTGAGGACAGACCCTCTTCCGATTTTGACGTCCCTGCAGCCACTGCAGAGCTGCTGCTGGCCTCAGAGCGGCGCTTTCGCTTCCGGCGGAAGTTCCCGTTATCAAACATTTTCTCACAGTTTGGATCCAGGGTCCAGTAATTACCTTTCCCTGTGGAGATGAGAAAGACAGGTGTTAGAGAAGGAGATAGTTTATGCCTGCTCATTCAGCTTCTATTTCCAGAGAAGGAGGGCAGACTTTCATTAAACGCTGATGAAGATGCTCAGTCCACTATACTGTCTAGAGCAGCGGTTCTCAACCTGTGGGTCGTGACCCCTTTGGGGGTCGAACGAGGACCCTTTCACAGGGGTCGCCTAAATACATCCTGCATATCAGATATTTACATTACGATTCATAACAGTAGCAAAATTACAGTTATGAAGTAGCAACGAAAATAATTTTATGGTTGAGGGTCACCACAACATGAGGAACTGTATTAAAGGGTCGTGGCATTAGGAAGGTTGAGAACCATTGGTCTAGAGTTATCCATATGGGGGAGATTTTATTTACCTTCAAAGAGAAATCTGGAACAAAGAGGTTCTATCTGCCTTCACCTCCTCCTGGCAGTGTCTGCTACTTAAATTTTAAAACCTAATTCAATTCACAAGGCACTTATAATTACCCAACACCCTCCCTTCTAGATCCAAATGGAGTGGCCTCGCAAAATCCTGGTGCTACTTAATAGGGATAAGAATAGCCCCCACCTCATAGGTTGGTTGAGAGGATTAAATGACATCTTTGCCCAGTAGCTGGCAGCACACAGTAAGCAGTGCAAAAACAGTATCTGCTATCATTGTTATTTGCTGAAAGTATATAACAATTGTCCCTAAAAATACTCCACTGGAAAAAAGGCAACCTCAAATACCCAATCCTGTGCCTTGCTGAACAAAAAAGACAGCAGTTAGTACTCAGCAACCACCTGTATTAGCGTCTTGGATGGCATGTTTGGAGGACAAGGGAACGCCTCTCCTAGAGCCTCTGTATCCCTCACCCTAGGCAGGAGGTGCCCCCATATCTCTTCCAGGTTCTCCCTCCACTGGGCAAATCTCAGGGATCAGGGCCCCATTTAATGCAGGCAGTGCTAGTCTCCTGCTTAGAAAATGTGACTCACAATTTATCTAACACAATCATCTTGGAGGATTTTATCTTCCCAAAGCTCTTTTCACTTCTGGCAAAATCAACTGTCGGTGTTGAAAGTACTATTAAGCACTTATTCTGTACTTAGTGCCTTGCATGGACAGCCTATGTTACTCCTCACAGCTCCATGGAGATAGGTAATTTATTGCCTCCATTATCTCAGATGGGAAACCTGAGGTGCAGACTGGTTAGTAACCTGCCGTATTCCCAGTTAACAACAGTAGAGCCAAGAATGCTCTACCAGTGATGGCGAACCTTTTGAGCTCGGCGTGTCAGCATTTTGAAAAACCCTAACTTAACTCTGGTGCTGTGTCACATATAGAAATTTTTTGATATTTGCAACCATAGTAAAACAAAGATGTATATTTTTGATATTTATTTTATATATTTAAATGCCATTTAACAAACAAAAATCAACCAAAAAAATGAGTTCGCGTGTCACCTCTGACACGCGTGTCATAGGTTCGCCATCACTACTTCTAGATCTAGACTCTGCATACCTCACTACCTCCACAAACTAACACACACGCCTCACACCCATTTTCTCCACTGACACAGTCTCTGTAAAAAGTCTCAGAAAAAAATGTATTCACAACTACCATCTCAATAATGCCCTCACCTATCAGGGTAATTATATTGTGCCACCTTCATACCAAGCACTTTGACAAGACACTCTACAGATCCTTGAGCTTTTGGAAGGTCTGAGTAGTGAATGTAAAGTTTACGTGACCATCTCAGGTGCTTTAGAGGCAGAGTTGGAAGATGCACATCTAGAACTGCACGCCTGGTTCAATGCAGTAATCACCAGCCACACGTGGCTGATGGGCATCTGAAAAGTGGCTAATCCGAAGCAAGATGTGGGGTAGGACACACAGGGTTCTGAAGACTTGGTACCAAAAAGTAATATGAAGTACCTCACTAATAATTTTTATGTTTGTTATAGGTTGAAACAAATTTTGTTTTACATAAAAAAAAACACATTAAGATGAAATTCACCGGTTTCTTTTTATTAATGTGGCTACTAGAAAACTTAGTCACGTGGTTTATACTGTATTTCTATTGGAAACCACTGCTCTCCCATGACTTCAGGTACGAGTACTCTAGGGTATTTATATAATTTACCCAAGATTCTAAATCTCCGGAGTGTGCAACTGAAAGGGTTTCTATTCTTTTTCTTTTTCCATCACAACTCTGTCCATACCTCCCTTGTCCTGGGCTCCATCTGAAAACCTCAAGTAGGATTCTGTTTCTCTCTCGTTTTCAGCTTTTCCCCACCTCCACTTCCCAGGTAGAGGGAAACAATTACAGCACTCCACTGTACCCCAGCCCTCTTCACCTCAGGGCTCAGATCAGAAAGAAGCAAATTGGGGGCGGGGGAGTTAATTTTTTGCATTTTCAAATACTTAAAGTACGAAAACCACAATTTGCAGGACTCAGCTGAAGCTCTCTGATCCCTCTGCCCCGTCTCGTGTCTTTGCCACTTATCCTCTAAGCAACGGTTCTCAACCTGTGGGTCGCGACCCCTTTGGGGGTCGAACGACCCTTTCACAGGGGTCGCCTAAGACCATCGGAACACACATATATAATTACATATTGTTTTGTGATTAATCACTATGCTTTAATTATGTTCAATTTGTAACAATGAAAATACATCCTGCATATCAGATATTTACATTACGATTCATAGCAGTAGCAAAATTACAGTTATGAAGTAGCAATGAAAATAATTTTATGGTTGGGGGTCACCACAACATGAGGAACTGTATTGAAGGATCGCGGCATTAGGAAGGTTGAGAACCACTTTAGAACCACTAAAGGTAGGCAGAGGATCTGCTTTGTGAAGGACACCAGAGGCTCAGGAAACGTGCTGGTGCGGGAGGCTCTCACCACCTCTTTTGTGAAACGTGATGGGATTCTCAGCTCAACCGAATCCCTTTATAGTCGCTTTCATCTGAGAGCTCACTGGTTCTCAGTCTACTTCCCCTCCAGCGGCACGGGCTCAGACCCGCCAGCCTCTCCGAGTGGAGACTGGAAATTGGGGGTGAGGGGCGAGCTTCTCCCTCCCCGGGTCCTCTGAAACTTTTCTTTGTCCTGTGGTTTCTCCTCGCCCCAATCAGACGAAGTTTGGGTGGTTATCCCTCCACTGGCTCTCATCCCCAGTTAGAACCAGAAGACTCCGCATGGATCTCAAGTCAGCCACGCCGTGAACACCCACCCACCCTGTCCGCGCGCGCTTCCCTGCGCTCCGGCCCGGAAGGAAGCACCTGTCCAGCCGCCCTCACCTGGGTCATCCTCGTCGCGGGGCACCTTCTTGAAGCAGTCGTTGAGCGACAGGTTGTGGCGAATGGAGTTCTGCCAGCCCGCCTTGCTGCGCTGGTAGAAGGGGAAGCTGTCGGCCACGTACTGGTAGATGTGGCTGAGCGTGAGCTTGCGCTCGGGCGCGCTCTGAATGGCCATGGCGATGAGCGCCGAGTAGGAGTAGGGCGGCCGCACCATCTTCATCAGGTCCTCGCGGCTGGCCATGGACAGCCAGCCCAGGTCGCAGGGTGCGGCGGGCCCCCGAGGGCCCGGTGGGGCGGCCCGGGCGAAGGAACCCTTTTGGCAAGGCAAAGGTCCGGGCGCGTACGGCGGTTAATGAAAGGCCCGGGG